CGCCCCCCCCCCCCCCCCCCCCCGTCTGCCGAGGAGATGCCGGTCCCAGGCTGACCCCAACAGTGGTGTAATGGGTTCTGGGCTGCAAACAGGCTTTGTTACACAGCCATTAAGTTAAATATTTAAAAACTATGCTATGGATTTTGGTGTCTGTAAAATGTGCTATGGAAAGTGTCTTGGTTATTTATAGGGTTAGTGATTCAATAGAAAAGAGTATTTTATAAGTAAATATTGAAACAATGTGACTCTCTAGTTTACTTTTAGGATATAAAACTTAGGGCCTGATCAGCTGACCTCATTTACATGCAATAGATCTTTGTTAAATGAGTTTTAATATAGCTGAGAACTGGACTTCTGGAATCTGAGCAGAACCAAAGTGCATTTGCTGCTCGCATTATGACAGCCAGCATTTTGTTTCATGTGAAAATCTGCAGCCGCTCTGTTTGAGGCTCCCAGAGAACTCTGAGACTCGTTGTGACAAGATGTCATCAGGTTTGGCACTTTCACAGCAACCAAAGTTCTGCTCCTCTTCCCAAAGCCTTAAATACTTTTAAATGCCTTCTAGAAAAGTAAGAAAGAACCCACAGCTCTGCCTTATACACTTGACTCTTCAAGAATATACAATATCAGAAGTCACAACCATGTTCAGTTTTGGATGAAGTAAGAGGTTTAGAAAGAAAGGGAATTAAAATTCATTTATGTTCCAACACAACTAGTGTTGTTTGATGAAATTCGAAGGGCAAAAATCAACTCATTATGAAATAACAAAGTAAGTGACTCTGTCAAGAAATAATCCTTTTGCTTCTCTGAGTAACTTTGTTGAAAGCCCTGGATAATTCTTGCCATTAAATGTTCTGGAAAAAAAGATTACTGTTTTAGTTCAATAAACAGAGAACACATGGTTTAAAGGATATATCTGATAGCTCCTTTGAGGAATCATCCCAAATTTCTGCTTCACTTTCTGGTACTCAGAGCCAAAGTATTTGGGAAAAAAAAAAAAAGGAAAAGATGCACTTTTAAACTGAGGACCTATAGCAGACCATGCTATAGTGGGAGGAGGAGTGGGATTACAGTGGGATTACTACTGAAACCTGTCCAGCTGGAGAATAGCCTGGAGAGTAAGGTAGAAAGATGAAGAGTGAAAAGGTTCTTAGAAAAGCTTTCAAATCTCTTAAAAAAATGCATTGGAGATAAAGTTCGTACAGTATTTCTATCCCCTCTAAAAATAATTTAAGTGCAAAAGGCATTCCACACCAGAAACAAACAGAAATATTGAGTGTGAGCCATAGCACAGACACAGGTGTATTTTGCCAGTGCCTGACAGGCTTTAAAAGTAAGGATTTAAACTTAGGTTTTAATTTACAATCATTTTTGCACAACTTTAAAATTTCTTATTCATACAAATTCCAGCATGAACTGGAATAAAATCTACTCCTGTCTTGGCTCACAGATGGAAACCATCACTCCTAAACTAAATTGTCTATACATGACAAAAGGGGGAGAAGAAACACAGCTTACCTGAGACGCTTAACCTAAAGTAAAAACTTAAAATATCATCACAGAAACGACACATATTGGCAAGCTGTTTCAAATGCTCTTGTAATTGTACTCTGGGGAAGTACACCTTATAAAGAGGTGCAAGGAAACCAAACACAAAGGCATCCAAGGTAGAAGGCCTGAAAGAGTAACAAAACAAAACAGTGACTGAGACAGGGTATTAAGACCACTATTACATATCCCTTTTCTGTGCATGTCAAAGACTTTGGACAGAACACAGTCAGCCCTTCTGACATCCCATCTTTTCACATCAACCTGCTAAAAGCTTTGTAGAGAATATCTATGGATTTCAGCACCTCCGGATGAGAGGCAAGGAGGCAAGCTGAAACAATAACTTCAAGATTAAAATTCTGTCATGTCATGATGTCACACAGACTGCTAAACAAGCCACTTGAAAACACATTTCTGGCACAGCAAAGACCATGCAGACAAGCTGCATGCCAGAGGAACCAAATCCTCTCTCATGCAATGGTCCAACCAACAGGTGCTCCTTTTGGGACCTCTTGGAGCTATGTTGGTGGCACTATCCATTTTCTGTTCTACACACGTACCACAGGAAGAGGAGTGTTCCCACCTCTTCCCATGGAGGTTCTGACACCGCCTCAGGCTTAAAGTGTTTTTCTATATGGAGGTGCAGAAGGTAACATTCAGTGATTAGAAAAGCATTCTCAAGTGCTATACTAATTCATCAAGCACCCCACATACTCTGAGCAGCTGTAGACAGCATCTGCCTCTCAATGAAGAAAATGCAGAATGAGGGAGGATATAATGAGACACTGCACTGATTTCATCAGTCCAAAGATCTCATTTGTACCCTGTTCCCTTTTCAGATCTTACCTGAAACAACAGCACAAAGCACAACCCACTGCGCAGCACTTTTTAGCATTTGGAGGTAACAAACCCCAGTGCTCACTGTGTCACGTAGTACCTGTTTTCTTAGCCATTAAAGAAGATGTGCACTCATGTATTTCCAAAGAAAAACTGAGATGATCCCAATCTCTTCGACAGGAGATTTAGGCATTCCTTGACATCCCTGTATATCTGATAAGACACAAAACTGTCTAAGAGTCCTAGCTAGTATGCACAGCATCATTCACTATTTGCCAGTGTGTTAACCTCTTTCAGTTCTTCTCTTTGACAGCACCAACATACAAACCAAACCAAATTCTTCACTTCATGACACATACCTGTGCTTCCACTTCAGTGAGACTGTAGAGTGGAGGACCACCCCTGGTCAGCAAGAACCTGTTAAGAGCTTCCCTGGACATACTTCTAGGCAGATACAAACTCAGTGGGAAGGGAATTCTTGAGGCAAACCATGGCTTTGTCACACTGCAGTAGTTTTCTGCCTCGACCCAGGACGTGTGCAGCTGTATAAACACAAGGAAGAACCTGAACAACAGACTGGAATTTGAATAAGAATAGTACATTTCTCTTCAAATCTTAATGTGTAAGATCTCTGCCACAGAAGCAGCAGAATTGTAATTTAAAGCAATCAGGTTCCATACTCAATTATATTAATACTTTGAGTGTAGACATATACAATTAATACCACAGCTAATTTATATCTAAATGAAAATAATCAGGGATATTACATTGACATATATATGCATAAAATTACATTCACACATTGAGAGTGTGTGTATATACACACACACACACACACAGTATATATACACACACATAGTGTATGTAAACATACACACACACTGTAAATAGAAACTATATTTAAATACTTATACAACTATAAAATAAAAAGGTTCTAGTTTCCAGAATGTCTGATACTACACCATACTTTCAACAGGATCAGGTTTGAAATGTTTTGAATTTTCTTTTGGAATTTTACATAAATCTTAAAATAAAAATAAATTATGGGGATGATAAGCCCTGCAGAACAGCTGAAGAGGCTGGCTTGTGACACGTCTGATCATAATAATTTTTCCTGGACAAACTGAAGGAAGTCATTCACCTCCAGCTCAGAGGCAGACCCAATCTCTGGGGATATTTATACCTGTAACATACCCATATGAAATTGGTGAGGACATGTGGCCATGTACTATTTAGAACCGAAGAACAAAATTACCAGTGGCTAAATTAATTTCTCAAAAGTTCCAATAAAACAGTTATAAAAGTCTTTACACCTCAGGTTTAAACCTCAGGTTTGTACACCTCAGATCAGACACCATCACATACACCATATGTTATTCAGAGGTTTTTCACAAGCATCAAGTGAAACAAAAAAAAAATGGCCAAAGTAAGTTGTTTTTAGGATACTGTTTAGCAAAAAGCATCTAAACCAAAAAAAAGTCAAAGGTACAATTTTAAAATCTGTCATAAATTCATTATCATTAAGCTTCTATCACATTCTTCATCCACTCTGCTTTTTCTCATTTTCAGAAGTTGCTAGGCAATAGTTCCTAAATTTGATTTGCAGAGCAAACACATTCCAGCCAGGACTATGGTGTTACTTTAACATTTCTCCCATTGGGCACCTCTTGCAATATTTACCTCCAAAAATTCTGCCCTCTGTAAAATATTTCCCGATATTTACCATAGCAGGAAGCAGTTTCTCTTCAAGTAGTGCAATATATGCCAGTGTATTAGCACCTTGTTTTGCAGACAATTCATAGTCAGCATTGTATTTCTATGAATGGAAAAACAACACGCTTAACAGCTATCAAGTTAGCAAATGCAACAATATTTTTCAGGACAAAAAGCACAGTTTCACTAGAATTTCCTTCCTTTACTTCTTCAGTCTCTGTCTCACTTCTTTACATTTTACATTCTTGCTCACCCATTCCTAGACTTTTGCAACCTTCTGTTCCCAAAATAACTCTTGTGCATACCTCCCATTGCTTGCCAAGCAACTGTCCAGTATTGCAAAGAAGTTTTCAGCATTTGTGGCTGTAGCAAACCTCTAGCAAATCCTGGTCTTTATTTTTGGATAAGAATGCTTTGATTTATTATCTTCTACCTTTAATTAGCTTTTTAAAAGTTTGAAAATGAGGGATCAACAACATAAGAGACCAAACACACAACTGGATTAACGCAGTTTCAGCTAACCCTACCTTTTAATTCTGACACAGGAACCTTTTAATTAGCATAAAAAGGGCTGGTAAATTTGGGGGATGGGAGAGAGTTAGCTTTATTAATTTAGAAGCAGCAAAAGGTTAGTGCCAATATTTTCTGAAAAGTATGCATATCACTGTTATACTTTAACTGAGTCTCTCCCCCCCCCCCCATTAAGGAATCTGAGGAATTCAAATGTTAGGAAACTTTTGAATTTTAAAAAGACTGTCTAAAATACTATCTCAAACTCTCATTTTTTTTGTATTCTATTTTTCTTTCCCAAAAAAGATTCAAAGTTTCACTACCAAGTCATTCATCAGACAATCTTGATTAGACAGAAACTGAATTTCTAATATAAAAACAGAATAGAAGGCTGGAGGACCATCTTAGAAATAAAAAGACAATGCCATGCTTTTTAGACATCTTCATATTCTGTGAAAAGAAACTATATAGCTTTATTCTTTGTGAATAAAACATTACGTGACCTCCAAAATGCTGGCAAGCGTTGATTAGATAATAACATGATGTGCATCAGGAAAAACTAGCAGACACTTTTCTGCTACAAACTACTGAAAAATTACAGTAGGTTAAAAATAAGCTTTATATATTATCCTTCAAAAATAGCATTAAGAGACAAATACCCATTTGAACAGTTAAAACCACTCTTCTCAAACTGCGATCTCCTATGTCTGCAAAGCCATAATGCCATTAACCCATTTTAATTAAGAGCGTGATGAAACTGCAGGGTGCTCAGTTAGAAATGCTCAACCAGGGCTAGTTAGCTGTCCTGTTTTTTTTTTTTTTTCTTTTTCTTTTTGTGCGTCTGTTTTTAAACCTTTCAGAGGACTAACAGTAAACCTTCTAAATAGCTATCTGTAATCCACCATTTTGCAAGCCTTACGATGTCTGGAAAATACGAGCACAGGGTCAGAAGTGACTTCCAGGCTCTTGGAAGCCTGTATCAATATATAGAAAGGACACAAACACAAACTAGGAGGCAGAAAAAAAACCCTCGAATCTCTTGAAAGAGACCTGCCTGCTTTCTTAAGCAGTTTAGTATTTTTGCTGACTGAGAAAGAACGGTGTCTTCTGATATCAAGATTAGTACCTCTCCTAAAAGGCATGAATAATACAGTCATCAGAACCTACACATACGACTTCTAACCTAACTGGACAATGATTAGTCACTTCGCCTATCTCCCTTCTCTCCACAGCATGCTCTCATCTTCCAAAGGCATATGCATAAATTAACAGCACAATACAGTAAAACTTAGTTTAACTAAAAAGGACCCACATCAAATCAGACTGAAGCCGACACCATCTAATAGATTATTGATACTTTGCAAACCAGACTAGTTATCTGGATTTCAGATATCCATCTTAAATCAAAAACAAAACAAAACCAGCCCAACCCCTCACTCAACTCACCCACCCCTAGGCCAATTCTTCTATCCTCTTTGCCTCCTACCCTTCCCTCCCTTCCAAATCCATTTTGGCCACTTGTTTTCTCTTGCCTCGCTACAACCACTGTCCAAACTACAGCACAGACCCCAAATAACTCCCTTCCCCAGAGGCATCCTGCCCTGGTGCTACTGATTAGATTGCAGGAGCAAGGAGTGTAGACTGAAAACCCTCTGGAAGAGGGGCTGTCTTACACACATGGTACATTCACTTTTCACAATGAGCCAAATGTGACTGATACTTTACTAGCACATAGCAGCATAATTACCACAATTGCCAGCAACATGTTATTTGGATTTTTGGGGGGTATGGATTTTATGTATCTTGACTATCAAGAAAGCCAAAGGACTTCTGAGAGCCTAGTTCTTGGTATTTTCTGCTAGCAGCAGAAAAAAAAAAAAAACCACTAAAGAACAAAAGTCAAAGGCCCAAACTCTGTGTGGAAACAGTAATGCCTAAATTGAACACGTGGTAAGTATAAACAGAGTACTTTAAACTTGCAGTGATTTTATCTTTCTGGAATACACCTAGACAAAAATTGTGTCGCAGAACAAACAGGTAAGTAATAAGTATCCAAGTTTTCCTGTCTCGGTACCTTATCTTGAACATCTCTGACAACTAGATGGCGAGTTACCTTTTCGAATTCAACTTGTCCAGCTAAGCGCAGTAGTTAGGATCCCACTGATACAAGCTGCACTCCTTCAGACTCACTCTCAACTTTCAACTGCAGCCGGTGCCGCGA